CTGAGGTTTAGAGGGTGAAGAGAGTTTCCCAGTGTTACACAGATAGCAAGACAACACAGTCTTCTTATGTGTTTCCATATCAAATACTGTGGAGCATCAGTCACTCCAGTCTTGATAGCATTTGCTGCTTAAACCCTTCAAGTCATTTCCACAACTGAGGATTAAGTACATACTGGATACAAGAGCCTAAGCCATAGAGATCAACTAAGTCAGACTTCTGGACTTAAGGGGCTGCCAATTTGGTTTGGGTTAGATCCAATGCAGAGAAATTCAGGAATAAAAAGACATCCCACCTTGAAGGGGACTTGTCATCACTATCTGGGCCGCTGTGGTTCTCTATGGGGTTTTTCAAGGGGCTGATCCTCAGCTGCCCTTCTATTCTTCTGCCTTCTAGGACTGGGAGGCTTTTGTCCACAAGCTCAGGCTTCCTTTGTATTTGTGACCCAAGCTCATCCCCCAAGAATCCAGGTTCTTCAGTCCAGGGGGCATGTCCTCCTCTCCCCCAGATACTGTTCACAGCCACTCAGAAACTGAGCCCAGGGATGCAGGGCCCACACTCCAAGAAATGGGAAGTTTCTTTGGTCAATTGATCAGCGTGTCTGTGTCTTTGTGGATTGGCGGCAGATAAAGAACTCTGCCACTGAAGAGCCTTCCTTTCTAAAACAATTAGAGCTGTCCCAAATTGCCAAATGCCAAGGGTAGCCTCTGGAAAGTAAGGCTCTCCTTCACTGAAAGTTTCAAACAAAGACTGGTTGGGGGCATTGTTGGAGACCTGTCAGAAACAGTGTGGAAGAAATCCCTGGGCAGAGATGGGTTAGACTAGACACCTGTGAGCTCCTGGCCAGCCCTGATGTTCTTTGAATCTGAGGTTCTTTCTATCATGGCAAGGGGGACTTCTAACCATCCTCACAGGGAAGCTTTTCTTCCTTCTGCAAGATGAAAAATGAGGCTGAGTAAGAGCCTCTTACCTTTTCACCTTCTCAGTGTAGCTCTGTGCCCAGAAGAAGGCTGAGAAGGCTGTGCTGAATCTGCCTGCTGGTTCTTTGAGGACTTGTGACCTGCAGATCATGTTATCTCCTAAACAAGGGGCATCCTTGGTTCTCCCAATAACTGTTTCCTTTCCTTGAAGAAGCTTTCTTGGTGAGATGCCAATTCCTTGTCCTTTCAGGGATCTCCTTGCCCCATTGACTCTCAGTGCTTTACTTTGCCACCTTTGTGTATTAGACAGTGCCCAGAAGCTGTGAGGCTTAGGAGATAGGGGCGCCAAGGTCTCCATTTTCCCCTCTCCCATCCACATGCTACATAGATCTAGAGCTTCAGGGAGTCTCAGGTTTTGGATGGGCTTGGTGTCTCCCAGGACTCTTGCCAGGGACAAGAATTTCATTCCTCAGTGGCTGCAGAAGCTGGGTTCTGGGGCGACTGGGGAGGAGCAGATCCCTGAGTCACTGGAGTCATAGCATTTACTGAATGTCCCACCTGGGGCAGTTAGGATGGGAGCAGCTTGATGGCATCTAGGGCCCTGCCAGGATATGGTGATGGTGGGAAAGGATTTGAAAGAAATGCCTAAGGAAGACAAGAATGAAAGAAATGTTGGGGTCTAAAGAAATGGAGACAGAGATATTCAAAAGGGTCCATGCAACAGTTCCTCCTTGCCTGCTTCAAACAAAGACTTCCTCAGGGCAGCTAGGTGGCACAGTGGATAGAGCACCGTCCCTGGATTCAGGAGGACCTGAGTTCAAATCCGACCTCAGACACATAATACTTACTACCTGTGTGACCCTGGGAAAGTCACTTAAGCCCATTGCCTAGCCAAAAAACAAAACAAAACCAAAAATAAACAAAGAGTTCCTCCATGCTTAAATGTAACAAACAAAAGCCCAACAACTTTATGCCTTGCCTTATGGAATACCTCCTCCCTTTCACCTCGAAATTCCCAGAAAGTAGCATTCAATACAGATTGCCTGTCCCTTTGCATGTCCTACTACTCTGAACTTCTTGGAATCACTCCTCTCTCTCTCCTTGCCTTCCCTGACACTCAGCTGAATCTGCCTTCTTTAAGGACAACAAAGATTTGTATCTTGCTGTATTTGGAATCCTTTCCCCAGGATTCACCTTCCAGGACCTTCCCATAGTATTTCATACTGTTAGCCATCCTCTTTTCCTGTGTCTCTCCTTCATTTTTCTCCCTTTCTGACACTTCCTTTTTCGTTCAGTCATTTCAGTCATGTCAAGCTCTTTGTGACCCCATTTGGGGTTTTCTTGGCAATGATACTGGAATGGTTTGCCATTTCCTCCTCGGGCTCATTTTACAGAGGAGTGAATCTAGACAAAAAGGGTAAAGTGACCTGCCCATGGTCATGCAGCTAGGAAGTGTCTGAGTGCAGATTTGAACTCAGGAAGACCAGTCTTCCTGACTCCAGGCCTGGCACTCTATCCACTGTACCACCTATCAGTCTTTTTCAGGATTAGCATCCATAGTTTGACCCATTGGCACTGGGGATCCTTTGAGTTCTGACCTTGCCTCTTCTCCTCCCATCCCCTCCTTCTCTCTATTGATTCTCTTTCCCTGTAATCTTGGATCACACAAAATGTATTGTCCTTTCTGTGCAGATCAAGCCCAAATTGGGCTCTTGTCTGTCTCCTAAGCTTTGCTTCAGTGTCTCCAATGCCTTTGGGACTTTTCCTGCTGTAGACATCCCTAACTCCACATGTCCAACGCAGAAAAGGAACAAAGCAAGACTTGGGGCAGGGCTGTCCTAATGCAGTGGGAGCCAGCTGCACCAGAGGGGCTTGTTAAATTTGGGGGCTGGGTAGCTGCAGCTCCGAACCCTGAGATGGGTGTAAATTAAGGCTTGACATTGTTTTCCTGATGTTTATGCCATAGATTAAACTTAAAAGAGGAGCCAGTAGGTGGCACCATAGTGCATAGAGCATCAGGCCTGGAGTCAGGAAGACTCATCTTACTCAGTTCAAATCTGGCCTGAGATACTTCCTAGCTGGGGTGACTCTGGGCAGGTCACTTCACCCTGTCTGCCTCCATTCTTCATCCGTAAAAATGAGTTGGAGAAAGAAATGGCAAAGCACTCCAGTATCTCTGCCAAGAAAGCCCCAAATGAGGTGACGAAGAGTGAAATAGGACTGAAAAATGACTGAACGACAAATTTAAAAGTGTATCATGGGGGCAGCTAGGTGGCACAGTGAATAGAGTTCTGGCCTTGGAGTGAGGAGGACCTGAGTTAGGATCTTTGTGACTCTGGGCAAGTCACTTAACTCCGACTGCCTCAGCAAAAAAAGGGGAAAAAAATAAGGAAAAAGTGTATGACAGGTACAACATGTTTGGGTTTTTTTTTTTTGAAAAGTAGTTGCTAGGGGGCAGCTAGGTGACACAGTGGATAGAGTACTGGCCCTGGAGTCAGGAGGACATGAGTTCAAATCCGGCCTCAGACACATAACACTTTCTAGCTGTGTCACCCTGGGCAAGTCACTTAACTCCAATTGCCTAACCAAAAAAAAACCAACAACTACTTCCTAATCATTTATTAGCACACCTCAGGCTAAGAGAAGATGGTCTTCAAAATCAAAGATTGGTTTGAGGACTAAGGAGGTTTGGGTTCGGATTTGGGATGGAGAACAAAGTCAAGTTTGCGATTTACCCAGTGCAGAAACTAGTCCTTCCCTGTGAGCTCTGGATTGAGAGCATAAGAATTTGAGTTCAAATCTATGATCTCTGGTTGTTTTTTTTTTAAAAACACTTAGGTATGTTTTTAATTTTGGAGAAATGACAACTTCACTTGGTTTCTCTTTCTTCCTCATGAGTGAGATAGATGAAGTTTCCTCAGTACTAAAACTCACAAATTCCCTTCATACTCCCAAAGCAGTAAAACGTGCTGAATTTGCAACATTTGTTGTGCATTAAGCAAGAGTTGACCTATGTCCCAATTCCTCTAGCAAGATAATCATTGTGAGAGACTGCTAGCTTAACTGCCAGGGACTTCCTGCTTATCTGTCTCAGGCAGAACTTCTAAATGGTAATCAAAAGTCTTCCTGATCCTTTGTTTCTAGGCAAATATTTCCAAATAAGGATATTATTGTACTAAGGGTCTTAGAAAGCTGCGTTTAGATCGTGCACCCCGAAACCCAGCCAATGGGAAGGAGGGTTCAGGAATGGGGAGGGGGTATCGCATTAGGACTATAAAACTTTGTTCTCCACTAACAGACTTTGCGCTCCCCGGCTGCCGCTGCTTGAGCTAGGAGGGCTGTGCACTTTTCTCATGAGAAAGAATAAAACCTTTTCTGATCTCCGACTCAGCCTCTGAACTTTTAATTCTAGTGTGGGGGCCTTTGTCTGACACACTCAGAAAAATGTGTGGATTGGTATGGAATTTCTGGGCAGAGACTGGAAGTTTGGAGGTAGGGTGGAGGAGGAGCCTGGGAAGGCAGTCAGTGAGTCAATAAACGTTTAAAAAGTACATACTAAGGGCCAGTCCTTTTTACAGCTAGAATTTCAAAGGAAGCATTCAATCCTCCCACCAATCCCCCACCCCAGCCAGAAACATTAACAACAAAAACAGTACCTGCCAGGAAGGAGAGTGTCTCGTAATGGAGACCAGTGGGAAATTGCTAGACCGAGTTGATTGCCCCACACCCCACCATCTTAAAAAAAACTTGGGGGAGGGGTGGGGAGGGTGGGGCCCTCTATCCCAGGCTAGGTTTCTGAGCATCTGTATAGCAGCTTTTGAAAGGGAGTTTTCTCTGTAATTGCTGGGGAGGAGCTTGGGTTGTGAATGGGGGTAAGGTTTAAATTCTGAAGCAGTCAGAAACAATAACCAAGACCTTTTCAGGTTCTCAAGTGTTAGAAATACGCTTGACAAGAAACATTTAGTTATCAAGAAAGTTTATTACAGAGAAAGTCCAGAGGATTTAGAAGTTTCTGCCCAGAGGCGGGCTCCACCCCTCTTCAGGAGGGGTGGGTCCTGAGAACAAGAGCCAGTGTGCTTTTATGCAGTGAAATTCGGCGCGAAACCTCCCTGGCCTGGATTGGTCTGTTCCTTCCAGGTTACGTTTGTTCTGGAATGCCCCCTGTTCCCGCCCTACTGTGTTGACAATTGTGCTATCGGCCCCACCCCCACCCTGGGCAGAGAAGTTACTATGCCTGAGGTTCACTTTCATTTTGATTTTGGAGTCTTCTTGGAACCTTCAGCTTTGGGCTAAGCCCAGGCCCACCTTCAGTGTAACTGCTTCCTCGACTTGTTTTTATAATTCTCTGCACTCTTCTACCTGTGATACCGGAAGCCTTCTTGCTCTAACATCAAGGCTGAAGTCCAGGGGAAGAGCTGAAGTTTCTGCTGTCTCATGAACTTAATGGAGAATCCCGATAGTCCAGACTCCATAGGTGAGTAGCCTTAAAGGACAATTTTGTTTTCCTTATTGAATTCCTCCCGTTGGGTTCAAATTTGAAGCAACATTTGGAACTGCCTGAGGGCAGGAGCCTGATTTAGCCAGTCTCTCCAGTTCTGGGTTCCCACACACTGGAGGCACTTAATCCTGTCAAATTGGGTCTAGCAATTTGAAAACCAAATGTCCTTTATATTAGACTGAATAAAAGCCAGAAGTGTCAGAGCTACATCTTAAGAGAAAAGAAATTCTGCTTTTGTTCAATGGACCCTACCTAATGAGGCCTCTACTGAGCCCACATTTTCTGAGGGCTCTCTTCCTGCTTCTCTTCTCTATCCCATCCTCACCTGCCATAAGCTAACATCTGCTCCCTTCTTCTGGCAACAAGTCACCACCTCCTGTTCCAGAGATCTCCAGAGATAATACCCAAACTTTGGAATTGGGGCCCCTCCTACTTCTGCAGGGCTGGTGCCAAAGTCTTCCCTCCAGAACCTTTCAAACCCAAATGATAAAGTCATCTCTCTTTCAAAGATCTCTTTCTACCTAGTCTTCCTCCAGTTCCCTTCTGAACCTCAGAAAGTGCTGCAATGACCCACTCTTCTTTTTCTTTACTGTTTGACTTTTTCTCCCAATGACTTGGATAAAGGCAGCAAGGTATGGTCAGTGCACCTGGAGATACCACAAAGCTAGGAGCAACAGCTTAACCTATTGGATGATGCAAAAGGATCAGCACATGCTAGAGAATTGGGGGAATCAAAGACAGTAAAGGTTTCTCCAAAGATCTGGGACTGCAAGCCCCAATAGGGGTCAGCAGTATGAAATGATACCAAGCCTCTTGCTGCTGGGCCTCCCTTGGGAGATACCCAGCATTCAGGAACAGGATGGAGGAAGAAGAGCCCATGTTCTCTGCCCTTGTGAGAGCTCATCTGGGCATTGTGTTCAGTGCCGTGTTCCACTCTTAACAGAGACATTGATAATCTAGAGATTCCAGAAGAGGATGCTATATAAATTTTAGTGTTGTTATTATTAACAATTTTTCCTTAGATTCTGTGAGCTTCCTAAGTGCCTTCCATCAGCCCTGAGGCACCAGGGATCTCTCCCTTCCTGGCCATGGGGCAGTGCTATTTACTCTGACCAGAACTCTGGGCAATCTCTTTGCCTCCAGTTAGGGCACTGTGGGATAGAGGGTTCACTTAGGAAAGGGAAAGTAAGAATGTTGACTTCTTGGCTCCCCCCCACCCCCCATTCCAATCATTGTTAAGGTGCCTTGCCCCTCTGATCTCTGGAAGCAGAGTTGACCAAGGAAGCCAAAATCTGTAATCCAAGGGAAGAATTTTATTTCTATTTGTCCTCCCTCTCAAACTGGGATCTGGCATCTCTAACATCCCCTTCCTGCCTCTCCTCCTATTGTGATTATCCATCAGCCCCTGGAACAGTAAATGAAAGTCCTGGCTCTCAGACTTCACTGTTCAATTTCCCACCCTCCTCCTAATACTGTTTCTCACTATAGTTCCCATTTATCAAACCTTTACCCAGAGCTCAGGGAGAAAAAGAATGAGGGTATGTTAGGGTTTTGAGGGTATATTTGTGCTTTTATGTATGTGTTTGTATATACAGTGTAGGTCTATGCATGTGTGACTGGGCATCAAGATCTGAGCTCCATTTCCAAACTTGCCTCACTATGTGACATGGGGCAAGCCCTGTCTTCTTTCTGGGCCTCATTTTCTCCATCTATAAAAAGGGCTTAACACCTTCAGTACCACTTCTATTTTTTTTTTTTTGCTAGGCAGTGGGGTTAAAACTCAGATCCTCCTGACTCCAGAGCCAGTGCTGTATCCACTGCACCACCTAGCTGCCCCAGTACCACTTCTTTGTAAGACTCCAATGAGGTCTTGGCTAAAGAAGCATAAAGTTAAAGGTGATATGTATGTTAGGGATGGGGGCAGTGATTATTACCTTGAGAAGTATTCTTTAAAGACAAGAAGAGATCCCAGCATTCAATGGATTAGGGGTGACAGTCAATGACCTTTGCTAGCTTGAACGGGAAGGACCTGAGGGTGAATCTCTGAAGGCATGTTCACATCTCTAAAGGCCTAATCTCTTGTCCAACAGAGGTATGTAGGACCCAGGTGTCCATACCTCCTTACAGACAGATTAACTTTGGATGTTTAAAAATATCACGCAGTGGTGGCAGAGAGTAGTGTAGCCAAGAATCCCCGTCTCCTTCTTTCCTCCATCCTACTCTTATAAGTCTTATAAGACAAAAGACCATACAGACATTGGTTCAGCAACAAGTCCTCTGGTCTCTAGATGTCCAGGAAATGTCTTTGATGTTAGGAGTCCTTTGGTCTACTTTCACTTGGAGACTTAGAGAAATCAGAAGTTGAGAACTCTAGCATTTCTTAGTAAATTGTTAGATTTAGAGTAAGAAGGAGACCTGGACAGATGGGGAAAGTGTAGGACAAAGAGCCCCGGTCTGGGAACCTGGAGCCAGGCTGAGGCAGGGAGTCTGGTTCTGTCTTTTCCACAGGGCTGTGTATCTGTTTGTCCTTTGTTCTTGAAGAGGACCATGACATCGGGAGATGATGACATGACTTGGCAATTGACTTTGATTTGAGTGAGGTGTCAGATCCTGGGCAAGTCCTCCCCTCTCTCATGGCGTCACTCCCCTCATCTGTATAATAAGAAAGGGAAGGAGGCACTGACTGATGTTAATTGAGGGTTTTTATGACTCTCAGAAATAACTCAGGGCAACTTACCTCTTCATTTGTCAGAGGAGTGAGCTGAAGGCCACAGAAGGTAAGTGAATTGGCAGAGAACACACAGCTGGTAACTTGATTGAAAGAAGATTTCTGTCTCCAGCCCCAGCATTTCTGTAATATTCCTCTGCCTCCTCGTGACTTGCAATTAGACGTGGCTTGGAACTAGAGCTGCCAATTCCAAGGTTCATGGTTTACTCAGGACCAAGGACAGTGGTCCTGGACCCCAGTGAAATCAGCTCCTCCAGAGGAAATCATTAAAGTTTTAGGGTGAGCATGTACATGTCACAACCACTGAAAGGCTACAGATTAAAGCTTAATGTAGTGTTTTCTTGTTGAATGAAAAAGGACTGTTTCCTGCTCAGTCCCTTGTAAGGCCCTGCTGTGGATTTCTGATTTCACTGGGTCTTTCTGAGGGTGAGCTTCTGCTCCTGCTCGTTTTGTGGCTTTGCAGGATGCAGCTACCTTTGTTATATCCCTGGACATGTTGGACACAGCTGGCTGGTTTGTTTGTGTCTCTACTGGCTTTTTTGATGGCCTTCTTTTCCATGAACTTCTGGCTAGTTCACTGTGTTGTTCTGGTGTGGAAGAAGTCATTTGCTACAGTTTCTAATTGGCTTTCTTGATCATTCTTCTGTCTGCTGTGACTCTGAGATTTTCGCTGGAAAAGTATATAGGAGATGGGTGATCTTCCTCCATTCAGGCCCCTGTCTTGACCAGAAATCTTCTATAACGTCAGATTGTGATGAGAAGAGACTTCTAGTCTGTAATGGGTCTCTCCAGCCTGTGGGAAAAGTCCCCCATGCTCTGGGATTTCTGTGAAAACTTAGGTTTTCCTTTTGAAATAAGACACTTGACTATTTTGGTTTTTTTCTTTTTTTTCAAGTAGTCAATGATGAAATCATGTGGCTGGGCCCAGAGTAGAAGGGCTCCTTGCAGAAAACAAGGCTGGTGAAATGCCCCAGTCCCCTTTGCCATCTGTGTCACTTCTGCTGAAACTTTGGTACCTGACTGAGCCCTTTGTGTCAGAAGGAGAGAATGAGGGTGGGGTGGCCAGCCCACCTGATGTCACTGGATCAGTGTTTCTGTACAAGTGACAAGCCCAATCGGATACCTCACTGGAATCTGACAGCAATCCTGTGAGATGAGTACTAGAGGTGTTATTGACCCCATTTTAGAGGTGAGGAAACCGAGGCTCAGAGGGATGAAAGAGGCAGAACATGAAACCATATCTCCTGATTCCTGGTTCTTGGCCAAGTTTACAGAAGTTGATGTGGAAGCAGTTGTGCAAATCTGCTTTGGAGACTCTGGGCCATTTTACTATTGCTAATGAAGAGGAACTCCAGTGGTTGACAATCAATTATAACGCCCTTCCATAACTCCGAGGGAAAGAGCTTATGCTTCACACACTTAATCTCATCTGTGTGTCTGTTGACAAGTCAGGTCACCCCTTGGTCCTCAGTTTTCCCATCTATGAAATGAAGGAGGTGTACTAGCTTGTGTATAAAATCCTGCTTTCCCAGCATAGCACCAGGGGTGGCTTCTGAGGTTCCTTCTAGCTTTACATGTATGATCTGTGTCAGGAATCATAGCTGTGTGACCTGGGCAAGTCTCTTGTCTCCTGTAGGCCCATTTCCCCCCATTTGTAAGAAGAGAGACTTGGACTAGATGACATATGAGGGTCTCATGTGTTCCTTCTATAGCCCCAGGACTGGGCCAGCCAAAGGGCACTATTGCGTGAGTGATGAGCCATCACCCCCTTCCTCTCCCCTCTCTTTTCCTCTTCTCTCTCTCTCTTTCTTTTGGATTGGGAGGATGATAGGCTTAAAACCAGAAGGGTCTTTTAAGGTCATCTTGTCCAATCTCATTTTGAGGCACAGAGAAGAGAAATGAGTTGCCTAGTGTCACATAGATGCCCTTTCACATGCTCCAGCCTCCTTCCCCCAAATTCCCTCATTTCAGTCTGTGCCAAAGGATAGACTAAGCCACCTGTTCTCTACTACCAGTGCTATTCATGAGAACAGACTCCCAAATCTGAAATAGTTTTAGGAAAAAATTTATTAAGTCATTTGGTAGAAGACAGTGAGCCAGAAAAGAGTTATATTTCCCTCCCATTCAGAAGCTGAAAAGTTTATATTATATAGGATTTTGAGAAGAGTACTGTACACATTTCATGTGTACATATTCAGTGATCTTTCTAAGAGTTAACTTGTAAAGTGCCCCGACCTGCAGGGCCAGT